GGGCATACTTATTCCTTTCTTTTTCTCGATATAGAAACAAAAGTTTTCATATACAAAGTGCCGATCATCTTACAATAAACCTAACTTTTTCTCATTCTGGATACCCAGCACCATTTCTTGGGAAAAAGACTGAGTTATATATTTAATACACATTTAAAATGAGCCAATTTCCAGCACCATTTCTTGGGAAAAAACTGAGTGGAACATTTAATTAAGTTTCACTTTCCCGCGATAAAATGGTATTACTTTGCAGAATTAGGTACAGAATAGAATTTAAATCGCGTCAGTTTTCTTCTAGATGCTCTACAAGGGATCAGTAAAATTTAGTAATAATTTATCACCATTACTATTTAGTATTAGGACCTCCTCTGTGAAACGGCGTTTGCTACACCTGGGTGCCTGAGCTCTACCCCATGTAGAATAAATTAGGAATTTCGAAAGATGAAATGGTATTAATCTAATAATGTCTTTTAATGCTGATTTGACGACAAGCAATTATTAATGCAGAAAACTGAGTTTTTATAAACGTGCTGAGGAGTTCTGAGAAAAATATTTCATGAACTTGGAAATACAATAACTTTCATGAACTCCGTTGATGCAATAGGGCTTTTGAATGAGGATGATATCGTGAGTTTCTTTGAAATAAAGTTTATTAGTAGATTTGCTGATGGAGATTTTGCATGCTGAAAATTAATCGGAAGAATACGAATTGAAACGAGAGACTGCAGAAAGATCTTACTAAAAACATGAAATAAACTGACGCATCTCGGCAAAAAAGAATACCCTTCCTGCAGAACTCCCCCTCCCGCACATGAGCAGAAGCATCTTGGGGTTCAGCTTAACGTGAGTACACAATAACAGGTTATTAACTAATATTAAATATGGAGAAGTTATATGCTCTGCTTGTCAAACTGAAAAAATATTCTCGCTGATTCAGTTTTTAACCAATATTCAATGGTGTAATGATTATGTTAGCTATCTGCTGCTAAACGCAGAACTGAAATTCAAAGCATACGTAAGAGCATAAAATACGCACATTAAACGACTAACGTATTGCGCAGTGGATGCATGTTGGAATTCGACTGTTTAGCAGTATTTGTCTGCCTAAGGACAGTTTCGTGGACGACTTTCTAAGGGAACCTGTCTCATACTCACAAAGTGTCACACCAAGAGTTTGGAACCACTTTTTAAGCAATTCATCAGCTAACAGGTAGTCTAGCCGAGGGCAGCTAAGAACTATAACCGTAACCGAAGACCGTTTCCTGTGCTCAAAAAAATGTGCAAGTGTAGGAGAGTTGATTTTAAAGCTTCATACTGCTGCTAAGGTTGGACTTTAAATCAGAAAAATCAAATGATAGGCTCCTACTCATTTTATCTTCTAAAGAGACCCGTTTAAGGTATCTTTTCATGCAGCCAAGAAGAAGGTCATTTATTGATAAGTGCTATAGTCTAGATAGGAGGAGCGAGAAAGATGCAACTTGTCTTCCCTTGTTCATGGAATATAGTTTCCATGGAAGTGCTTTCATGGTTTGGGATGGAATCATCAAAAATGGCCATACCGAACTGCATATCTTTGATATCGGTCCTATAACTGGTCACAGAATATGTGGATGATGTCTTGAAACTTCCATGTAAAGTTATCTAGGACTATTGCTGGCCCAAATGCTTTTGTTAACGGAAAACAATGTTCATTCGCATCGAACGTTTCTAGAGTCGGAATAATTGGAAACAGAAGATACCACTCGAATAGATTGGCCAGCTTACTCACTAGGCTTGAATTCGATTTAGCATGCATGATATGCCTTAGGCTGCCGAAATGAAAAGCATGTCAAATATTTCCCCGCATCCTCCACGATCTGAAAAGTGCACTTTCGGAAGAATGGCGTGCGATTCCACAAGACTTATGAACAATTGGTAAATTCTATGAAATCAATATGTGGAGCTTGTGTTTCTGTTAGGAAGGAACATACCTTATATTAAAAACCGTTGTTGCAAAATAAGGGAGATAATTTTAAATTTCAATAAATCTGAATTTATATTTAGCATTAAGTTAATCAACTAGCAAATACGGTAACTTTATTAAATAATCTAACTGTTTTAAATTATTTTTAAGTACGTATCAATTGCGTTTTCAGTAACCTTTCGTTTTTAAGAGCAGTGTAGCAGGAAATGTGTTATGAGGTACTCGATGATAATAAAATAAATCCTTGGAGAAAAGTCCTATCTTAATCAATTCAAATGCTGAATAAAAGAATGCAAAGTTTGGATAACTTGATTACTCGCTCTCCCCTCCCCCATGAAAAGGATTACAGCCGAAAACATCGCTGAGAAAACAACGCAGGCGAAAATGTTGTGGTGCAAAACATCGTGGGAGAAAAGAAAGCGGTTCAAAAACTGAAATACCCTCATATGCGGTCAGGTCGTAAATTTAGAACCCCTTTTTTCACAGGGGGGGGCTGAAAAGAAAGGGATAATCTTGCTCCTGGTCTTGAGAAAATGTGGGGGTCGTTTAAACATCTAACTTCAATTAGTGCAATTTAATCATAAAGAGTTAGAAAATATTCCAAGGAATTACTTCACTTCGTAGACTTTTTTAAGCTTCACCATATTTCTTAAAGAGAATGTCAATGCTGGTTCCATTTCCAAGCTGTTTATTACCTTATTTTCATGCTTTGAAAATTTAGAAAAAAATTTCACTTGGTTATAGCTGAAAATGCAGTTTTTTATTGAAGATTTAAGGGTAAGAAGAGAATTATGCCCTTTTCTAATTATTCTTGAAGCATTAATTTTTTTTTTTTAAAGCGCACATTAATACGGATCACTGAACTAAAGTGCTCGATACCGGACAGATTAATTAGCTACTAAATTTTGATTTTCGTTGAGTAAAAATGAATTCATCTGCATTCTATAGAAAGTAAATATTCAAAAAATGTTTTTTTTCTTATTCTCGCAGTCATATATTTTCTTAAATATTCAGCTAATTCATATTTAAATATTCCAATCCATTACAATAAGTAATAAATCGATACAGTAAATAAATAATTAAAATCAATTAAATGGAATTTAATTGCCATTTTCCCTCTGATAAACCCCTATTTAGAGTTCAATAGCAGTAGATCAGCTTGTGTTGCGGGTTCATTTTTTATGGTATGCTTACGTTATATACGTATGTATTATGCATTGCTCATACTCGTCAATTGCAGCTTTAATTTTTTGGAAAAAAATCAATATGAGAATCCAGAAAATGATTCTTAGCAACGCTTTAAAAACTATTATTACTAGGCCTCTCATGCCACAGAGTTTAAAAAAATAATCCCATTGTTTAAAGGTAGATTCTATGCTCATATTTTAGTCTAAATTAAAGCTGCGAGTCAAAATTAAGAGGGTTGCTCTTAGAAAGCCTCAATTAGAAGTAGTTAAAGGAATGTAATCAATACTTATATCTTACGGATTAAACACTTATTCCCTATTGATCCACGTGTATGGCAAACAGATATCGTCATCATCAAAAGAGAAAAGAAAGGTGAATCAAAATGAGTTATATTCTTGTTTTTCCAACTGCAAAAAATCTTAAGACTATCGGATTTAATCTTTTAAATTATTCCAGTAATAATCAGAACAATGGGGCCATTATTCTTAACTGTAATTTACTAATGCAAATCCTATTTTGGTTTCAAATAGCTTTCATTAATTACGTTAATGATATACTGATACTGAATGAGACCTAAAAACACTTAAAAAATATATATATATATCTCCCCTTATGATTCCTGACACAGCCGTTTACTTTTCCCTTCTGTAATTAACGTCAGTCTCCTGCTCTTGACCGCATTTGCCAAGCCACCCCAAAACTTCGCATTTATAAACATAGCCATCGAAAATATCGTGGTAAAAATAAAGAACCTACCAATCTTCGCATGACGATAATATCGTACACATGCATTTTTCAGGGTTTAAAAGTTGTAAATGCATATTCGCATAAGATTTGGAAGCGCAAGATGTGTTAACGACACTTTAAGAATAAACGGAAGTAAAACAAGATATAATTTTCATTAAAACAATATCAGATTAACAAACGTGAAGAAAAGTAATTTGATAACTAAGCAGTTTTTATAGAGATAACTTATGCAGTTATTTATCTTCCTTTTTATAAACATTTTTAGGCTGTATGTTTCATGAAAAAATATAAGTAAAACTGTATAAAAAAGATAAATTTATTAACGAACTTTGTAAATTAATTATGTAAAGTTAAAATACTATTAAATGCTACAAGTTGCATTAATTTTCTATTTATTTCCAAATTTTAAATGCTTAAGTTTTCTTCTTACTTTTTCAGTAACAATTTATTAGTTCATTCAAATATATGAAACATGAAAATAAAAATATCTCTCTTTCCGTTTTGCACTGTCAAATCATTATGCGAAAATGCATTTACAGCTCTTAAATCCTGAATAACGTATGTGTGCGACGTTATCGTCATGGGATGATTTGTAGGTATTTTATTTTTTATCACGATATTTTGTACCACAATGTTTTCTCTAGGCTTTCTTTTCTCCCACGATGTTTTGTACCACGACGTTTTCGCCTTGCGTTGTTTTCTCCGCGACGTTTTCGCGGACACCATGAAAAGTTATGGAGACTTTATGAAGTGGTAGAAATGCTTAATTTTATTGCTCTTAAGTACTGTTCTATTAAAAAAAATAATAGTGAAAAGTGAAGTATTTTACAGTAATGATGAAAATTTTGTATTATAGAAATTTACATGACTCAAACACATGTATAGTACGTGCATGCGTGGACTGGGTGTTTACTCGAAAATACGCTAAACACACGGCCACATGTTAAAACCGGGAAAGTAAATGGCCAGGAAATACCAAAATTTCGTTGAGCAAAAAATATTCAGTGGCAATTTTAAATATTTATTTAGGATGCGGATAGTGTTCCATTACCTTTCAATTATATCAATATCTTTTCTGCCAAGGAAAAAACGGAACTTTGCTTCCAAATAAAATCATGTTGCCAAAGGAAAAAATAAAACCAATTTAAGAAACACTTATATTTCTCAATTCCACGAGATAAATTAATTAAATAGAAAAAGCAAAATTTAGTACTTTATAAAAAATATTTTACATATCAAAAAGGTAGCTATTTCGAATTTAAGAAAATAATGCTGCATTTGATCCACAGATTCCTTGATTGGATCAGAAGTCTGTTTTGGAGTCAAGAGATGGAAATAGTAATATTAGGTCTACAGCAAGCCGGCAAAACAACTTTCGTTAATCTGATAGCAAATAATTACAATGAAGATACCATACCAACAGTTGGATTTAACATGAGAAAAATAAAAAAAGGTAAAATATGCATCAAGGTTTGGGACCTTGGTGGAGAACGTCGATTTCGAGGAATGTGGGAAAGATATTGTAGAGGAGTTAATGCTATTATTTATATGGTAGATGCTGCAAGCACAGACTTCAACGAGTCAAAACAAGAGCTTCATGAACTTCTATTAAAACCGCAATTGGCAAACATTCCTCTTTTGGTTCTGGGTAATAAGATCGACTTGCCTCAGGCCGTTAGTCATATATTACTGATAGATAAAATGAAGCTACAAAAAATAGATAAGAGAGAAGTTTGTTGCTATATGATATCATGCAAAGCTGAAAAAAATATCGATATTACTCTTCAGTGGTTAATAAAGCATTCCAAATCACTATGATAATAAAAACAAATTAATAAAAAGAAGCATAGTTTGAAATTTTTACATTGCAGTTCACAGAGAGAATAATTCCATTTTGAATTCTTAAAAGTACTTTGTATGTCATTCAGCAATGCTTGCATTATGACATTAATCTCATTCTGGCTTTGCAATGTATCTATTTTTATTTACTCATCAGGAAAATATCTGTAAGTCCAAATATTTCTAATTTAAGACACTGCATCATGAAATTCAACATAACTCAAAGTAACATACAAGCAAATTTTATTTAACATTTCCAAGATACAAAATATTTTGCTATTAAATAATAAAACAATACTTAAATATAGGATAAGGTTAAAGACTAGTATTACAAATTCTCACAATACAGAATAAAATAAGAGTCTATAAAAATTGTGCATATTTACTGCCTTAAACTCATTGAACTAATTTTGGAAGACATAGTTTGATGTCACAGAATAAAATGTATATTATGATTCACAGAATAATTATTAAAAAATAAGATGTTCTCGACATTTTAGAATAAATTTTATGGAATAAATATAAGTAAATATTTATTTTGTCTTTCATTAATTCTGGGAAAGAGAATTTATTTAGCATTTAAATAGAGTAATTATTCTACATAGTACAATAATTAAACTTCTTTCTCTTATTCTGAAATTTCATTTATCAAAATACCTGAAGAGCCTATCAACTTTCAGAGTAATAGTAAATATAGAGGGTCTCATGTTCTAGTAAATACAGTAGATATTGATTTACACATAACTTAACATGAAGCAATAGCAAATAAATTTTAAACTAAACCTTTTCTTTTCGTAATTAAATGAATGAAAGAACTTTTCAAGTTTATAATGCTTAATAATAAAATGAAAGGACAAATTATTACATACATTTTGAGAATTAATATCAATCAAAGGTATCATTACACCACAAACAAAGCTGAAAATAATGTTGTCTGCATAATACATCTCTATACGATAAAAATAATTTCAATAATGAAATAAAGAGTAAAGGCAGCAACATAAGTGAATTTGATTGTGGACTCCATGAAATGGGCTGCCATCCTCTGCAGTACTTTAATAAGGAAGTCTCTCCCCTATCAAAGTACTGCAAAGTCTGCAAACTAAAGAAAATATGCCCTGTTAAAAAAGCAGACCATCTCACATTGTTACAAAGAATTTTACAGTTGTCTTGCAAAAATCACATAAAAGTTTAGTGCAGATTCACTGTACTACATTTTCTGCATAAAAACATCCTAATACAAGGGCTATTTCTGTCACAACAAAAGGCAGATCCAAATGTTATTGAATAAATTACTATGACTCTCTGTTCTTATAGTTTATTATGTCTATTAATATGCAAATACTTTATATTATTCTCAAAATAAGTAGTATTTTTGTGATATTAAACTAGTTATTTTTATAGCACAACAGAACTTTTACTACAATCTGCAAATAAATCACTTGAAGGGGTAGAAAACATAAATGGGAAATGAGATCCTATAAAATATTAATCAAAGAAATTTTAAAATAAAGCAGAAAATGCAAATACTTTGCAGATAAAACTGGATAAATAATCAAACTAATGTTACCTCCAGGATGCCATCAGAGCTATCTTACTCTTATCCATATAGCTTACATTTTCAATATTCATTAACAAGTAATTAATATATAGCAATTATTATATTCAATATTCACTAATGGTTTTTTACCTACACTAAATCTCAAATAAGACAAGATATTGATTATTCTTACTTTTGCATCAACTAAAAATACTGTGTTTGCAATTACTGTGCTATTTTTTAAAATTTCATTTTTCATAAAAAACTAAATTATACGTTAACAAAATTAAATAGTACCTCAGTTTTTATACAATTATATTTCCTTTGATTCTGTAAAAACGTCTGCATTAAATGCAAAAATATACTTTAATAAAATAAACCAAAGCTGTATCACATGTTCACTCTAATTCAGTTATCCTATATAATTGAAGTTGTTTTATAAAATGGTGATTCTTTTCCTAATTATAAAACATAATTTCTGCAGTAAATCAATTTAAATATGCAACATCACATATATAAATAAAGAAGGTTCTACTGGATTATGATCTTGTTAGTAAATGGAAGAGAAAATAGTGCAGAATATTTTTGCTTTCTGGAAAACAGACTAACTTTAATCTAATGTTGCATTTCATCTAATTTTACTGTTGTTATTGATGTATTGCTTTAAATAAAAATTATCACATCATATAAAATTGGTATACATACATATATATATATATATATATAAACCTAAGTTTCTCAAACTGTAAAAATATATTACTAATAATGCTATGCTTTAATTAAACTTCAAGCCAATTTTATCATGCAAAACTTTTAAAAACTACATACATTTAATATAAGACCAAGTACTTTGACTAATGTTTCCTTGAATAACATTATATCACATTTATGTTGACTGTTTTATGTAGAAAAGGGAATTTTGTGCAATTTAGAGATGCTAAGAGGGAATTTTTATGGAAATCACTGGCAGAAACTTACATCTGATCTGGAATTTCAAAACCAAACTACTCAAGAAGAATCTAAGGAAGATAATCTTAATCCTACATAGCAGCAAGAAAATTAGTTTATGATAATTTTAATCTTAAACAAAAGGTTAAATCTTGTCAGAACTAGGCTGACCTTTGTACAACTTTGAAAATATTAACTCAAATAAGAAGTAAGTAGTTGGGGGGTATATAGAAGTAAGGAAACTGCTAAAAGTATACTTTAAGATGCTTAAGAAAAAATGAGATTAGGGTACTTTCTTATTATTATGGCACCTCATTTAGTTAATAGTGCGAAAATTATCAAGAAATCACTAATACAAACCATCTTCAAATGGTTAGCGGTTCTAATGACAATCAGTTAGAGTTTGCTTGTGATGAGAAGAACTCAGTAAATCCCATATATACTTTCTGTTTCATATAAATGTTAACAATTCCTGATTACTAACAATTCTGCTGCATGTGAAGAGCTCTGAATATTGCATGTATAATTTCTTTTCAGGAAAAAAATAAATAAAAGAATAAAAATGTTTGATTTACCAAGAAGAGAGGAAGATGCCATATCATTCTTTCAGAAAAGATGCATTTTACCCTTGCATTTGAATATGCAAAAATGGCCAATAAATAAAACTTCATATCAGTGAAAGCATTTAGCATGCAAGATGAAAAAGAGATGTAAGTGAAAGAAAAAGCATACATTTTAACAACTGGGTCAATGGTTTCAGAATAACGTTTGTAAAAGTACAGCAATTTATTTACTGTTGGGCAGAGGAACTGGCACCACACTGTGATGGAAGCAACTCAGCCTTTATGAAAGAACAATTATTAACTGGAACAGTTTTATGAAAAAGGTTTATTTTCTACATCTAATTTGATAACCAAAAAGCAAATAAGTAGCCCAGAGATAATTGTGGATAGAAATGAAAATCAGCTTGTACAGGGGGAAAAATGAAACTAGCAGGAATTCTACATCTAATTCTAGTAGAATTCTACATCTAATTCGTCCACAATACTGGATATTTGCAGAAAATGGCAAATTCTTTCTCACTCAGGTTCCAAATAGAGAGGCAATCTCACTCATGGCAAAAATCGTCCACCCTGTACAAGAGGGATCAAGGCGTTATTCAGACTGTTGATGAGCAAACAAAATAGAGGAACTGGAAAAAACAGATTAGAAACATTTTACTGTGAACCATAAATTACATTTTGCTTATCCAACAACAGCAAATTACAACACAAAATGTTGAAAGACTGCTAAGTGTTGGAACAAAAATCAATGAGGCACAGTTCCATTAATCAGCATCATCAATTTTACCTTGCGAAGTGCATGTAATAAAAAGTTCTTGGGAGAAGAAAATGCTTCTGATGCCATACTAAAAGCAACATGACAGCCACAAACTCTATGTGAAAAGTAAACATGAAATTCACGATAATTCTGATGCCAACTTGGCATTTAAAAACAGGGCCCATAATCATAACTGCTCTCAAAAAATCATAAATAAAAGCTGTTATAAAGAAGTAAGGAACCTACTATAAGTGCTTAAGCAAAAAATGAGAATTGGGTCAGTTCACTCCCATCAGTATAGTATTTCTTTCCATCTTGAATGATTCTTTCATTGTAATATGATTATTTAATTTCATAATGTTATGTCACTTACTTACATTTATGGTTATTTAATAATATTTCTATCACATGCAGTTGTCATAAATCTTAAGTCTAGTCAATTTTTGTCAAATGCAAATGAGCGGGATTTTTATATTTCTGGCGAAAACTGTTTGTTACAATTCTCTTTATTTTAACATTGAATAAATGAAAATATTTAATATTTGCCACGATTTGCATTGCCAAGCTAATTATTATCTGAAAATGAAATATTAGAGTAATAAGTATAGTTATGAAAAAGTATTTTTTAGCAAAATATAATGAGATTAAAAAATTTTCGTTCCTCAGAAGAAAAATTTAGACGGAACAAATATTATTAACAATGGGAATCGATTTAAATTTATGAATGTTTCACAAGACCTTGCATTTTTAAGAGTTTTTAGGTTCAATATTATTTACATTTATGATCTGAACTTTAGATATTTATCATCTTTTGTTTCAACATTTGTCAATCTTGGAAAACATAACTTTAATGTCAGCCAAAATCAGCACATGCAAATTCAGTATCTAATCATTTAACACCAACAATAGAAGACCAACCAGATTTTGAGATATGAGAGAAATGCCTGTTGCTTAATAGAGAAGTATTAAGGTCAATTCTCAGATACGGAAGTATCTAAAAAGTTAAACAAACCTGTAGAAGTAGGATATGTTAATTTTTATGAATTTTGCTATTAGGTCTGACAGTAATCCCTTTCAATACCTTTATTATCGCAATACTGATTATTACTTGTTATTATGTTTTTGAGATTACTGTTAGTATATCTTATTTATTATACTGACTACAGGAGCTCATTTTACACCTTTTGCTCTTTATTTGTAATTTAAGTCAAGATTCCTTTATAAAAATTTACTTCTAATTTTATACAATTTAAAATATTACTTGAAGAGCATTGTTACATAATATCATACCTTGACAGCAACAGATATATATGTAGACCTTTACCTGATATTATGCAATTGAACTGATATTATTTAACTGTTTACTGAACTTAAATAAAAACCATTAAGTGAAGAATTTCATGAGATTTTACATAAACTATTTAACTGCAATTTATGTAATTAATCAGTTATCAGCCAAATGCATGAAGAACAATAACTAAATGTTAGGCTATAATATAAAGTTCAGGCTATCAATACAGTTTAAAAATTATTAAATAATTCTTGTCTAATCTCATGAAAGAAATATTTGGAAAGCATAACAGATAATAAGGAATTAAAAGTTTTAAAATTGTTGAACTGAATTGTAATATACATATACAGCATATCACAATTTAAATGAGTAATTTGAAAGCAGTGTTTCATATTAAACTAAATTACAAAATTATATCAAGTATTCCAAAATGCAATTAATTTTTAACAGCTAATACTTGCAAAAGTGCTTTTTTAATGTTTAAATATTATTAAATATGTGACATACTATTTTACATAAAATTATTTCAATACATATTGGTTGAATTACATACCAACTTTTCCATTTCAGCTTGTATCTTCAAAAAATTTTGCATATATGTCGCATTTTATTCAGAATCACATTTATATGTGACTCAGACAGTTAAGAAAGAAAACTACATGATATGCATACATATTAACCCTACGCATTGTTTTTAAATGCAACATCTAAGAAATACAGTGCAGTAAACTTAATATGATAAATATCCTTTTAAACTGATACTTTTTAATCACAAGATTCATTTCCCTACAATTATTACATTTAATATAATCTTTATGCCTTGAACAAAACTGATATGTTGACAGAGAACTGATACTAGAATCAGACATTTAAAGAAGAAGCTTGTTATGAAAAGAAATATCTTTCTCTAATATACTAAGCAATTATATCAAGATCAATACAAGACTAGAGCTAAAAAGCACCTAATGATATAGAAAATCTTCATATAATACTCAAAATCAAGTTCAAAGAAATTTAGATTACTTTTAAGCATTAAATCATTTACTTCTATTTATAATAGAAGTTCACCTTCCACAGCATTAAATTAGAGTTCAGTGATTTCTTTTAGCATTATTATTATTATTAAAAACTGAATGACTCTTCTTTTCCCAAAGTAACAGCTTTTTTTTTAAAATCTTAATCTAATACACATGAACAATAATTACAACAAAAAGACAACCTCAATAATAAAAATTTTTTAAGGCTGTATTTTAGAACACAAGTTATGTTCTTAAATAAAAGGACAATCTGGTTTCTGATACAAAGCAAATAGCAATAATTAACTATCTGATAAAGATTATAACAATTCAAATGGAATTACTACCTGTTTCATCTATTTTAATTAGGTACATTATGGAAAGTAGGAAAACAACATCAAAATATTACAGAGGAAATTCCAATCACATATTAAATATGTTATATTTGATCTAGAATATGCATATTTTATCTATCGAAAGATGCTTTTGGACAAAATTAGTATTATTAATGTTTTTAATTCATGTCAGTTGTTTAAATCTAATCTTCGAAGTACCGGAATGAAAATTATAGAAGTTTATATAAATTTTGGCATTTTAAAAGCATTTTGTTGCAAGACTAATTTATATTAATTATTTATTGTCTCCTCCATGCCCAAATTTATTATCTTACAGGAAGTGGAATAGCAGCTTTACTAAAACTAGCTTTTTATTGTAAAAGCAGAAAATTTTATTGGAGAAAATGAGTTCCTCTACAGTATCAAAATATTTCATAAATATAATTAATTATTTCAACAACAAATTTAAATATCCAAAAAATCTTCTCCAAGACTTCTTTCAACTTTATAGTTTTAGTTGACTTAGGTCTTCTGTGTAAGTGGTTGCCTTAGAGAGATGATGCTGAACACCAATATTTATTTTTATTCTCAGAAATACTAAAGGTGGTCACTATGAAAGAGATTTTTGTTTTTTAAATTACTTAAATTTTATCAATAATATCAAAATATTTCTGAAAACAGCTAGTTTAATATCCCCCACCCCCAAAGTAGGCTTTAATTACCCTAACATGCAGTTTTCAAACCTTTTAAAACACATTCAAGAATAACGATTTTCTCGATGCATTTAGAAAAGTAAGGTATTGATTTAGTATTTAAATATGTAACTTTGTAAAAATTATTTCCAGAAAGAATATTATAATATACACAGTTTTGTTCATTCCATTCAAAGCTTTACTGGAAATGAAAGAATAGCACAAATTCTCACAAATGATCTTAAAATATTAATATGAAATGTAACTAAGAATAAAATAAACACAAAAATATTAAAGTTATTAAAATCAAAGATGCTAAATAATTCAATATATTAACTGTTCGACTTGCACTAATCAAATCACAATACTAACATTCCAACATACAAAATGCATATTACATTTAATTTCACACATAAGATTGCATAAATTAGCGAGTTTTAAAAATAGGAGATTCATCAATATTCTTTTTATGAACTTAACTTTTATGAACATTTTTATAAAGCACAAACACTTCACAAGCATTTTACAATACATTTTTATAATTTTTGAAATCATAAATTTATATTTCAAAATATAGTCTTGTTGCTGATATAAAATTCATGAAATAAGAAGCTCACTACATTAAAAAAAAAGTGTAAAAATACTAAGTGAAGTGTCATACATAGAAAGCAAAATGTTTTGACTAGGATAAAATATCATAATAGAAAATAAAACATGTATTATGATAAACAAATACAAAATACAATATTTCTGCAACAAAGTAAAAAAAAAATTATAAATTCACTTCACATTAGTAATACAAAAGAATTATTATACTGTGCCAGAAAAATTAAAAACAGTCAAATTTACAAACATCATAAAAGATGTCTTTTCCTTTTAAAAGAAGGAAAATTTAAAGAAAAAGAAGTTAGAAACCATGCCAAACCATATAAAAGCATTATAAAAATTATAATCGTTATGCTGATTATGTAGTGACTCAAGGATGTTCCTATATCTAGCCAACTTCCACTGTCTTTTACCAGGAAAAAGAAATGCTGAAATAAAAATTATTTTCCATTAAATTCACAAAAATAGCTTTTCAAATATTCTTTTAAAAATATACAATTGATTATTAAAACTGAAACTTCTGAAGAAAGCATTTGGCATTCTGAGAATTTGTACAATAGATACATTATGGCAGGACATGCAGATGATTAGCATGGTCACCAATAATACAATCTGCATACAAAAGGAGAACAAAGGATAGGTATTTCATATAGGAATCCTGCTTTCCGATTGCTTGCTTGCCTAGAAGGTTCTAAGTATCTCAAAATCAGCAAAGAAACTACCTTTTACTTGTGTGGATTTAAACAAAAAATTTAATCGATTTCAAGGGCAATAGGTCCCTTTTCTACAGAAGCAAAGAAATTTGCAAGACTGAGAAGCAGCAGGCGTAATAGTCTTATTTATATATACTGTTCGACATTGAAAATGCAACACCAAGAAGGAGTGGTCAGAGAGTGATGAAATTTGGAAAAAAGACAGAGACAGCAAGTGATTTTTATTTCAAAATGATAGTCAGAATACAGAGTGAGAATGGCGTCGGCTCATTAGGATGTAGGACCACGGCAGACATCGATGCACAAAGAAACACATCTAGGCATAGAGTCAATAAGAGTGCGGATGGTGTCCTGAGGGATGGCTCTCCCTTCCCTTTCAACCATTTGCCACAGTTTGTCTTTTGAACGAGGTAGGGGCAGAGTCTGCAAACAGCGTCCAATCACATCCCACACATGTTTGATTGGTGACAGGTCAGAAGAGTACGGTGGCCAGGGAAGCATCTGTATACCTTGCAGAGCATGTTGGCAGATGTGAGCACTGTGTGGTCGGGTGCTATCCTGCTGAAAAATTGCATTAGGCAGCCCCTGAAGGTAGGGGATTGCCACCAGCCGCAGTACATTATCCAAGTATCGTTGGGTCATCATGTCATAGTGCCCTGAATATGAACTAGAGGTGACCTGGAATCGTAGGCAATAGTGCCCCAAACCATTATGCCACGTTGTCGCGCGGTGGGGTGTTCCACAGTTACTGCCAGATTCAATCTGTCTCCACATCGAGGCCACACACATATGCGGTGACTGTCACTGGATAAACAGAAGCGTGGACTTATCTGAGAACACGACGTTTCACAATTCTGTCATCCACATTGCTCCAGTCCGGTGCCATTCTAAATGTTGGCGTCTATGTTGTGGGGTCAATGGCAGTCTTCTTAACGGACGCCATGAGTGCAGGCCACATTCAACCAATCGATAGGAAATGGTTCTGGTCGACACAGGAACATCCAGGGTATCTGCAGAATCACGGCACAAGTGACTTTCGGGACCGCCACAGCTTGTTGGCGGATGCGTCGATCCATGCATGCTGATGTCACTCTGGCTGCACCTGCACCCCTCCTTCTTCCCACATATCCTTGTTCCAACCATGTTCGCCATAGCCGATGCACCGTGCTCACATCCATGTGGGTATCAGCTGCGATTTGACATAAGGTCAAGTGTGCCCTTCTCAGTCCGATCACCATACCCCTTGTAAAATCGTCTATCTGCCGAAAGAGTCTTCGTTGTGGCGGCCTGGGCCATTCTCTCCTATTACATGTATCCTCCGGGGACAAAAACCAGCTTTCTTTGATAATTCGTCTGGCAGAAATAACGACACAAATATTGCCCATTCTGCACGTTCCTTCCCTTGTATCTTACTTCACGTGCGTCGGAGAGTTGCGCATTTCACATCATTCGTATAACTCAGTGACGTGCGTCTACTCTAAAATTTGCAAATTTCTGTCCACTCTTTCTTGGTGTTGCATTTTCAATGTCGAGCAGTGTACTGCTGCAGTAAAGCGAACAGGAAGGTAGCACCATCTGTATGCAAAATTAGAAACAAAAATTAAAAAATTAAATTAACAGAATTTTAAAAGCATCAGGAAAGATAGGATTGGACTTAAAAGTCATTAACTAAACAAGCAAAATCTTTTAGAGTGTAAAAAGCTTCAAGAAAATCTAATTCACAAATGGAAGAAGTTTTTTTGGATAATTTTTGCAGACGCAAAGTCAAAATTACAATTAAATTCCCAACTATAATTAGCTATCAAGGACTTGTTAATTTTGCCCTTTCGGACATAAGATTCATGTTCCTTAATATAAAATTTCAATACTCTTTTAGTTTGAACGATATATCTCAAACCATGCTGACATTTAAAGTCAGAAATTTTAAGTATATTTCATGTAAAAGGAATTCAAACCACCGCATGTCTACATTTGACTAAAGGAAAAAAAAAAGTGCAATTCCTAAAAATGCAAATTACCTCATCATGTAACGCATGCTCACATTTAAACGAAATCTAATTGTGATATGAATGTGGAATCTACGTATCCAAGAGGAAGAACATAGCAACATGCCAGATTGCAATGGCACAGACACACCAGTTTCCAGGATAATACATTTTATACATAATATCCTGTATGGTTTGGTTATATTATACACCCTAGCTAAGGAACTGGCATGTATAGTGCAGCAGTAAGTATTTGTTATTTTTGGTATGGTATTATTTGCAGTATCATGGACTGTTTACAAGGTAGCCATTGCTTTGTTGATTTTTAACCACAGCCAGATCATCATTCATCAATGGTCATAGGCATTTACAACTACAAAAATGGTGAATTGAATGAGCACACAGATTTATGAATAGCATGACATTATTTCAGATGAATCCCGATTTTTGTGCTTATAAGTAGTGCATCCTAATTAGCAGTTGTTCAAATTTTACATTATGCCTTGTCATAACCTAGTGCCTGGAGTTACATTAGCAGGTGTCACTGGAGACGAACTACTCACATCTATATATCCATCTGCTATACTGACCTGCTAACATTATAGTACAAAGATGTTATAGCTTTAGGATTGTTTCATATCTTCAGGGCCTCTGTGGAGTCATCTACTGACAAGATAATGTATGATAGCATGTTCATCTGACAATGTCAAACATTTTTTTTGATAGACAGTATATTTCACTTCTGCTTTATGTTTACTCAATCTTTACCTGTTGACACATCTGGTCCATGACTGCATACAGACCAGCACAATGTAGCTACAACATATTAACTCTGACAAAAATTGAAACTTCACACAGTAATACCTGCACTACAGTCACAGCCTATTCTACTGTATTCCCAGCTATACAGTAATTATTCCTGCCCATGATAACTAATAATCTCTGCACATATTTAAAATTTAAATCACTTTTCTTGTATTAAGATATTTGTAAAATGAACATGGTTTCACTAACCTTTGTCTTTCATAGTGTTGGAGTTTTAATGCCCAGTAGTTTTAAGTCCTTGATTACTATCATTAATCTTCAAAAGACTTTTAAAATGGAAACTTAGATATCATAAATGAATAAATAATGGTTGAAAAACAATACAGAAGAATCCCCATTTTATTTTGTCATTATTATGTTAATTTCCATTCCAGATTTTTAGCTTGACACTTTAAACCTTCAAATATAGATAAAGGAAGCAAATTTGTAAATGCAATAATTTTATTTTATACATCATTTACATATGTTCATATAGAAGTGTGTGTAAAATAAAAATTCTAACTGTAATTAAAAGTAGCCCCTAAAGTCTCCAATTTGATTAATCCTATCTATCCTATGGATAATATGCTCATAATAAATCCTTCTCAACTCAATCTTTTCAAAATTAATCTCTCATATGATTTTTCTGTAGCACCAACAGCACATGCACTTACATAATGACAAAAGGGAAACTAAACTCTTTCAGCCAATAATACTGTTAAATTTACAAACTAAAATTTTAATTTACTACAGTCAAAAGTCGTTAATTTGGACACCCATAATCCGGACTTCAAAGCTACAAACTTTCTGCACATGCGTCGCTTTGACGCATGCGCGTAAGACCTTTACGGCTGCGAATATGCAGTGCAAAATAGTTTACGATGCGCGTAATATAACGGATGAAAGCTCAGCTAAAATTTCTATTCAGTTAATGTTGCAGATTGCGTACCTGAATGGATCGCTTTTTTTTGCAGACTGTTAGAGCAATTTTATAAAGTAAGCTTGAACTTCGATTCGTCAAATAGAATTCTGATTATATTCCTACTAGTAAGGATCTACAAGCGAAAGTATGTTTCGAAGTCCTGAAGAAAAAGTGGGAATTGCTGCAAAAATGATAGGCATATCCTTTGTTTATCTTTAACGCCGCAAGGCGCAAGAACTGAAGTTGATCTGTCACACTATCCTTATCTTCAGGGCAGAGTTTTTATTTTTTGGCTTTAATTCCTTAAAAGTAGTATTCATCTTGAGTCTCTGTCTTTGATATGATTTAATCAAATTCCTCGTCATTATAATTCGCTTCCGATAGCGAAGAAAGTGACAGAGGTTATGAAACGGAAAAAATTTGATTGAATGTCGGTATTCTCGATACAGCATTATAGGATTTGAACAGCGGACTTTTAACTGAACAGAAATTATGTCTGTTTATAGAATTAAAGAGAATGTATTATCACATAAAAAAGCGCAACTTAAACAACTTACATTGGAAGAAATATTTAATAAAGTAACAAATAAATTAAGCTTTTTTTTTTGTAATTTGAACCCTTTAGATCATAAGTGTTCTTTAGTTCATAAATTACAGTTTCAATTTTTTAATTTTATAATTTCTGCATGCCATCTTACCAGATTTAAACTGATGATCTATAATCCAGAAAAATCGATAATCCGGAATCGCCGAAGTCCCGACGAATCCGGATTAACGACCTTTGACTGTAGTAGAAATAAAGTGTAATCATAAGCATGCACACAATCATTCTGCTAAAACGTCAGTATACACAAAAAATATTCTTAATTGAGAACCCACATTGTAATCTATGCATTCTTCTCATGTTTTTCTGTTCTGCTAACACTATAGTCTGCCCCTTCGATTTCTTACCCTAATTATATAGCTGTGAATGTGCTAAGAAAGCATGCACACAATCACTGAAGAAATAATGTGAATCTCACAGTCACCTCTTTAAACACCAGCTCTACCATCATGCGCTATGCACGAAATGGAGGTTAAAATTATTATAGAAAAAATTTCTATAATAATTTTAACTTCCATATAATGCTGGCATTAAATATTAAAAGATAATTATTTTAATACTTCATTTTACAGAACTTACTGAAAAATATTATTTGCACAACACTATACCTTCACACTGGCTGGTAACAATACAACAATTTTTGTTCCCAAAACAAGTTTGTTCACCCATTTTCTGTGCCTATTTTACCTTTCCTAAATTGTCCCATTTTCCCTTGGACGTTTTTTAATATTGATCAGAAAACAAATCCAAAGAAATATGATATTTGCTTCAAAACCAAAACTCTTGCCTTTCATCGAATGATCCCTCCACTGCTTGTATTAACACAGGAAGATTCCATCTTTAACATATTTTAGTATGAGTTCCGTGAGAAATCTATTCTTTTTAAACACAGTTTTGTTATTTAACCCTTTCCACTCTATATAATTTTCAACTCCACACACTTAACTATGTTTTTGTTCTTACTAACCAACAACTCCTTAATCCATTCATCAAATAGGTAAAAAAAGAGGGTCTCAATAAAAGGTTGTATTGCAAATACGCAAAGTGTGCAACAGATATTTTTTCAATTATATTAAGTAGTAGGATAGTAAATAAATATAAATTTATATATTTAACCAATTTATTTTTCTTAATTATTTATAGTTTTTCAAAGTATATTTTTTAAAACATTCTCCTGGATTTAAAAAAAAAATATACTTTGAAGGCCGGGTTTCCTATCACAAGAATCACAAAAGAATGTTTTCTTTTTCTCCCTCCTTTGACATTCTGGTTGGAACACACCATACTGTCCTTGTGTTTTTTATGAGAAAAAATAAAATGAGTCTTTCCATCTAAATGTAAGATAGCATCATCTGTGGATAATCGGCCGGTTTTTTTGTGTAGGAGCACGAAAGTCTTTGATTAGACTCGTCAATATATTTTCTCTATAATCTAATATGATAGTCGGTTTGTTTATATCTTTTTCACTAGAATTTTCAGTCGTCTTTGATCTTTTTCTCACAGGTTGTGAAACAGAAGATTGTTTTGCACTAAACATTGTGACCACTCTTTTCACACCATGTTACTAATGTTTTTTCTTTTCTATAAGCGATTTTATGTCTATCAGCTAATTTTTTTTTCACACCATGTTACTAATGTTTTTTCTTTTCTATAAGCGATATGTCTATCAGCTAATTAAAAAAAAAAATCTGGCAATTCTTTTTGATTGGTCATAATTGCTCCAGCAAGAACACAATTGGGTTTTAGAAGTTCTGCACCTAAAGTGGGGTTCGTATAAAATTTGTCAGTAAAAATATGATACCCTTTACCTTCAGGAATCGAATTTCATAAATTTTGATAGAGTTGCATCACAATTCTGCTAGTGAAAATAAGATGTGATCTTATTAAGCCATCTGTTGTAATTTTACCATAATATGGAACAAATGTATACAAATAATTTGTCTTAGAATCTGCTAAAACATATATTCGAAGTCCCCATTTTGTTGGTTTTTTAGGGTTAGACATGAGAAAGATTATTTTTCCCTTGAACGAGATTGTAGATTTGTAAACTGCCAAATTTTCACGAGATATATAATTTTCCATAAACTTTTGGTTTAGGTAATCCAGAAAGTTGCTCACTATTTCTATCCTTGTCCTCATCTTTTCAGTGTTCGGTGAAATTATTTCCAAATGTAGTGGCAAAAATATTTGGAAAAAACGTTTGTGTGAAAAAATGTTTCTAAAAAATGACATCTTCAAATGAAATGCTCGAGACCAGTATGATTCAAAAGTTGGTGAAACAACAAGACCCATACTTATGATGACACTAATAAAAGCTCTCATTTCACTCTCAGTTACATCTTTCCAATTTTACCAAATGGAATATTCGCTCAGTGTTTTTTCTGATATTATTTTTGCTGTGTATGCATTAGTTTCACTCACTACTTTCTAGTAGTGTAGGAGCCAAAAACAACTAAAAAAATTCTAGAGCTGATGGGCAGCTTGATGAAACTTTTGTCCCAACAACATTTTCACCAACTGAGAATTTTATGTTATGATGATAATTGTCCATAATGTTTCATCACTTCTAACAAACTGCCTATAATATATACAAATAGATGGTTGCTCATTGTTGTCCTCATTTATCGTTTATAAGTCTTCTTCTTCTTATAATTTCTTCATCAGAATCGGTCTCGGTTTGAAAAGGAACCGAAAACAATAGCTCACACGCTTTTGTAAAATTTATATTGTAGAGATATTAGGTAATTTTTTAGAGGCAGGCAAGATGAAATATTAGCAATGCCTTTGCTGGGAATCGAATCACAGACTTCTGAAATACACGCTCAGTGTGCAGACCACCACACCACAAAGGCATGCCAAGAAGGCGGGAGAAATTCCTTATATACTCCCCCTTTTAAAGGGCGACTGGAGTTTTTAGGGGACCCAAATGGTGTGGGTGTGGAGAATCACCATCCATTACCCTTTTAGTTCAGGTGCCACTGTAGACATTAGGTAATTTTTTAGAGGCAGGAAAGATGAAAAACTAGCAAAACCTTCGCCGGGAATCGAACCGCAGACCTCTGGAATACACACCCAGTGTGCAGACCACCACACCATGAAGGCATGCCAAGAGGGCAGAAGAAATACCTTATAATATCATCTTCCATTAATTCAAGTTCATTATCTATTAGAGTCATACATTCGTCATCACTACTTTCATATTCATTGGTGAATGATTGTTTTCTCTTGATTCAAGGCTAAAATAATACTAAAAAGAATTTTAAATCATCTAACTTGGTCAAACATAATAAATTTAATCTTTATTTACATATTACAAAATATTTGAAAGGAAAAAAAAGATTTAAACATTTAGAATGATTTTAGAAAATACAATGTATAATGTCGAATCTAGCTCGACAAAGGAGATTGTGTAAGAAACATTATGTCGAGCCACACTTGACATATATTAGAATAATACTAAAAGAATTTTAAATCTTCTAATTTGGTCAAACATAATATCATACATATTATTTACATATTACAAAATATTTGAAAGAAAAAATAGATTTATACATTAAATTATTTTAGAAAAATACAATGCACAATATTGAGTCTAGTTCGACAAAGGAGCTGGTGTAAGAAATATGATGTCGAGCCACACTCGACATAGGAGTCCTAACAGTTAATTACCAATAGTGTATCTATGGGGACTGGCAGAAAATATAACAAATGAAGGCAACTATCATGCAATGAAGGTCTAACAAAGAGTTGAAGAGTTGACCTTATTACTAATAAGTAAATACATCATCACAAATTTAATCTTGAATGCTTTCAATAATAAGCTGTCTGAGTTCAATAAATACTTTATAACTTTTACTAATATATACTCTATGTGGTCCTTCTGGAGAAATGTATGGTTGATATTATGCTAAGGAAATGCTTTCAATAATAAGTTGTCCAAGTTCAATAAATACTTTATAATTTTTACTAATATATACTGTATGTGATCCTTCTGGAGAAATGTATGGTTGATAATTATGCTAAGGCAATTTACGTTACTACTCATGAAAATTATTTCTCAGTGGTATAGCTATAGAGAAATGGAAGGGTAATCCCAAGTTGTACTTTTTTTTTTCAGGAGTAGGGTTTTTCATGTCAGGCTCAAATTTATCTTTGGATCATCCTTTTATTTATATTAATAATTTTTATTATTTAAATCACATTGTAGTTTGATTTAGATTCAAATCTGGTGAATAGGATGACTGCATAGTCATCCGATTAGAAGTATGACTAAAAGCCTGCTTCCTTTAGGAAGTTCACAAGAATATCCTTTGCCTTACAGCTCTCATGTTACCTTGCCTTAATTAAGTTAAATAACCTGTTGAATGGCTGAACTGCAAATTGTTATAATGCGATTTTGTTAAATGGCTGTAATAGTTTTGAGATTTCATGTTAGTCTTTTTTTGATTTTCTGAAGTGAGTAACATTATGTGCAGACTACTCAAACTACTGTTCTGAAACAGATTTACTTATACTTATTCTTCCTTTTTTTGTTTACTTACATTAATTAACAAGGATTTTGTTAAATATAGAGAGAGAACTGCCTTTATTTCCATTTTTTTTACGCTAATTTCTTCAATATACTTGTTTTCTATCCCATGTTGACTGCCTTAAAGCCAACTTTGAACAACCACAATGCTGCAAATGGAATTAAGATTCCTTTAATTTTACTACATAGCAGATATTCCATTTTTTTTTAGTATCCAGAAGTCAGATAGTTTCCATGTTGTCAAGTTTTTTTCTTTAGTATAGTACAGTAACTTGCTTAATGCCATTCACAGTCATGTTACTCCTTAAAATCAAAGAAACTTATTCAAAATCTTTGTAAGAAGCTAAAAACACAATTAATATCATGCTGAAGAGTTGGTTATAGCTCCTGAGCATGATTACAGTTCTTGAGCATAGTTTTCACAACAAAATTCTACAAGATGTATGGAATTAAAAAAAAAAAAAAACTTATTTAAATTCATATTTTCAATTTAATTTTTTAATTTATTAGACCTTTATTTTTTAAGATATAATACGAATATCTCCTGTAAACTAATAACAATAAAAGTTTTTTTTCTACTATGTTTATTTATTAAAAATGGTTAACCAATAAATATCTAAAGAATTTCAAATCAGAAACCCCCCCCCCCCTCTTAAATACGCATTTACTATTGTTACTAATGAAGCAGATCAGAAGTGCTCTAAGGTGACTTATTTGTTAAGAATGCAAGATTATCAACTCCACATAGCATACTAGCTCACAGTTTGTAATATTTTTAACTTAGTATTTTAAAAAAAAGATTTAATTACTTAAAATCAATAGCAGTTACTTACCAAACCTAAGAAATCTGACATCAGTAAGATAAGAAGAAACATCGCACGTGGAGATATTTTCAAGCTCACAATTATTGCTCGGAATACACAACTTACAATTAAGAAAGGTATCAAGATCTAAAACAATAAATAGTTCATGTTTTTTTTTTTTTAAATTTAATAAGCACAGTAAATTTTAATTAAAAATTACTGGAAAATGAATTTCTGAATTATCAGATGATCAAATTATCAGAAGTATTGCAAAATATTTTCTTCCTTATTTAGATTTTTGGAACTTTCGTTTTTACTTAAACTACCAAGGTTTTAAATTAATACGAGTTCAAGTTTTAATATTTTACATTATGACAAATATTTTAATATAAATAAAAATTCAGAGCTAATTTTAAGCAAGCTATAAACAGTACAGTTATGTATAAAAAGAGTCTTAAGTTCCATTTAAAGGAAAATTTTAAATGTCACTTACTTTCAGAAGTATTAAGAAACCCATCACAAAAGGATTGAAGATGGTAAGAAAGCAATATACACTCGTAGGGTCAAAACTAAAAAATAAAACACATCCAATGAAAGCCAAAATTTAATATTTATTATAGACAAATGTATCTACCATATATTTCTGTGTATTAGCTAAGAATTTTTGGAACTTTTTCTAAAACTAAATTGTGGGGGTTGACTTGTATATGGATCCACTTATCTTACTAAAAACATAGGTATTTTTAAATTAGCTGGACACAAGTGATAATTGCTAAATATTCCCTTTTTTTATTTCTATAGTTAATGAAAAAAAAATTTAAATGAGCTACTTATTTTATGAAAATGTGTTGTTTAATTTTTTAAATTGTACATAATGCTGGCTCATCATCACCAAAATGAAAGATTTGGTGTTGATGACATTTGGGCCCAGCTTTCTCCACTCTCGAACTTTTTTTCCATTTACAAAGAATGCAGAGCAGACACACTGTTGCTAGAATTTTCAGCAAATGCAATCAGCTATCATAAAAAAATTTCTCTTCCTGCTCATTTTTTCAAACAAAAAAATAAAATGGCATAGAAAATAAGATTAACTACTGTAGCTAGGATTTAATTTCGGGAAGGGGACTTCAGCTCCTTCATCTTTCCCCTATATACAGTCATGGAACACAGATAATACATATCATATACAAGACAACTAACTAATGAATAGAAAAAATGTGCTAGCTTCAGACAAGATTATAAGAGTTAACTATTATCGTGTTTCACCTAAATGGCTACACATTTAAATATTACAGGACTTTTTTTATTTTTTTTATTTTTTTTTTATTTTGGCATATACATCAGTTTTTAATTTTGGGTAAATTTTTGAGCTAAAAATGCACTCTCAGCTGATACAGGGATAAGCTTACATTTGAAAATATATGGTTATAACTCTTTCTTTCCATATATATTACAGATTACAATTTGTACACTTCTATGAATGAAAAAATAATTTTTTATACAGTTCCCATAAAGTAGAAAATTTAATCTGAAAAGTTTATGGTACTTGTATATTACTGCTGCCACACCAAAAGGAAAATGCCTAGCAAAAAGTGCACTGTGTGAAAAAACTGGCATGCAAAAAATGTACAAAAATAACAAGAATGCTACAGAGCAAAATATGTAACAAAATTATATTTACATTTATTTCTTGCATATATCTCCTCATTTGTTTCTCACAGTTTCTAGTGGCCATACATCTGCAATTGCTGTTAATATAGCTTTATTATACAAACTATAGCACCCCCAAGTTCTGTTAAGGTATCTCAGATGCTGAGGTATACCTCATTATTTTTTATTCCAGGATTTTGTAACTTTTAACACAGCACGTAAAAATGATACCATCTCTAATATATAGGTCACCATATCTGCATATTCTATTACGAGGTAAAATACATTTTTTCTAGAAAAAATACTACTGCTCATTAATAACTCCTTGATAAATCAAAAACTGATGACATATTTTGCATCTGAAAGGTTGATTAATACACTTTTCTAATTTGTTTGTAAAAATGCAAAATATTCTTCTTGAAAGAATACACTGTCTGTTTAAGCTTCTACATAAGATTTGTTTTCAGTATGTGGTCAATTCTGGCATCTGAGTGTAGATCATGGTGACCATTGCAACATACAAGTATTAAGTTCTTTAATAGACAAACAACATACAAACATCTACTTAGTTGTTTTGACTTGCTGTGTGAAGATCTGCTGAAGAGGCCTAATTTTGTGTTGGAAGTTAGGAAGGCAAATGAACTTATGGAGCTGATACGATTCAGATCAGAGGGATTAGTAAGAAGATATTTTAATAAGTTAAATAAAAAAGTTATATATAATTTATATTTTAGTTATATAATAATTTAACAATATATTTAATTAAAAATAATTTATTTACAAAATTTTCAGTTATTAATTTTATTGAAACCAGCTCCAAATTTAATAATGATTGCTATTTTACCCATCATCGATCATTTAACAAGCACTATTTAGAATCATCGATCTTTTAATAAGCACCTTCTATAGTTAAAAGTTGAAAATGAATTCCATTTGAGGCACTCAAAAATGATCCAAGTTGGTAAATCTATTTTCAAATAACTCTATACGTTTTACTTACAGATATGGAACACTGTATTTAGTTTAAAACATAATCAACATTTGACAACTCCCCCTCGCTTCCTGAACAAAGTTCATGGTTCTGGGCACCTGGGTAAACCCTATCCCAGAGGTAATTTTTCAAACATTATGTAGCGTAAACTTTTGAAGTAGCAATTATTATAGCATAAATGTGGTAGTAATTAAAACAAAGTTGAAGAAAAGTCCATAAAGTAAGCAATTATGTCCAGGTGAAGTTGATACAATTAAGTGAGAATGAAGCGATGTCGTGAGATGATACATACTTCCAAGAGTTACTAGTCGAAAGTCATGCAGGCATCAGTTTCGGAGTGCAGTGGCTGAATGGAGTCAGAAGGCAGGAGTTCAATGGTAGAACTGTTAAAAGCAGAGAAGCTGATTGGGTGATGTGCGAATTTGTGTGCTGGGGGGGGGAAGCTAAAGCTCTTTTCAGTCCATATAAATTTTGAAGGGTGGATGAAAAGTAAAGAGGGGGGTGTTAATTTGGAATCAGTACCTGCTGGACTTCGACAAATTTAAGAAGGTCTAAATAAAATCTTAGGTTTCAAACTTTGGAAAAACTTTACTTAAATTTTAATGCAAGTTGCTGTTAACACTTATTTATGCATTATCAATTAAAAGTTTTCACGTATAGATACAAGTTTTTTTTTAATATATTTTATTATATGATTATTTTTATAGAAGCATTTTTTGCATAACTTCCGAGCATAACTAGTTTAGTAGAGTAGATTTTGTTTAAACGAACAATGAAGTATCTATCTGAAAGATAGGAATAGAGTGTTGTTATGATGTGTTAAACCCAGAGTGATCAGCTTGCAAATGAGGGCATCAAGCCAAACACAAGCAAATGCCTTAGCTATGTCAAGGAATATTGCAGCCGTGTTTACTTTTTCTCTTAGTCCAGTAGAGATTAGTTAAGATCTGGTGCCAATCGGCAGCATTTAAGGAGATTCAAAATTTTGTAGTTGGTGGGAAAGCATATAGATGGAGCCACATTAGGCTGTTGAACTATAAAATACTAATAATAGTTTCTAAGTAAGGCTTGAAACCTTCTATTCTCTGGATCGTTAACATTATACTGCAATGTCAGAATGGTGTGATTGTTAACTTTAACAATGTCTTTATAAAACTTTTTAGCAATTTTGACCATAAAATCCCTGATTTGTGGTGTGTTGGTTTCAGTATGAAGTGCTTCGTTTCTTATGTACCAAGTACTGCTGGTAAGTTGTCGTAAGATGATGTTTTGCAGTTGCTGAAGTTTAATTAATGTAGTATTGCAAACATGCCCCCACACAGAGCATGGATAGGTGATGATGGGATGAAGCATGGCCTTATAAATGAGCAATTTCTGATCTAGTGCTAAAATGCAGTTTCAAGCGATTAGGGTGTTGAGTGTTTTTTACTAACTCAAAACTCAGTAATTATATGTTTAGCATGGGGCTTCCATGTGAGTCTTTGGTCAAGTATAACTCCAAGGTACTTAACAACCTTGGCCCAGGGTATGATAGTGCCGGAGAACACTTAAGTTTTCATCAATTTTCCTCTTATGGGTTAACATTACTGCAATTGTTTTAAAATTGATCTTAATTTTCCATTTAAGAAGCCAGGATTCAAGTGCATGAATATGAAGTTGTAACAGTTGTATGGCTGTGCTAACAGATGCATTTTGGGAGAGGATCACAGTATCATCTGCGTACATAGCAAGTGTTGTGTCGTGCATGTGTGGAATATTGTTTGTGTACAAATTGAAAAGATATGGCACGACAAGGAATCCTTGCAGCATTCCTGAACATAACTTAGTTTAGTAGAGTAGATTTGCATAACTTCCAAGCATAACTAGTTTAGTAGAGTAGACTTTGTTTAAACGAACAATGAAGTATCTATCTGAAAGATAGGAATAGAGTGTTGTTATGATGTGTTAAACCCAGAGTGATCAGCTTGCAAATGAGGGCATCAAGCCAAACACAAACAAATGCCTTAGCTATGTCAAGGAATATTGCAGCCGTGTTTACTTTTTCTTTTAGTCCAGTAGAGATTAGTTCCGTGAGATTAGTTCTGTGAAAAGTTTATGCACTGTGGAGTGTTTGCTCCGAAATCCATATTGCTGAGGGATGAGAAGTCCTTGATTTTCACCCACTGCTTTAATTTCCTTGAGTAAAATAAATTCAGCAATTTTACAAAAAGTAGGCAGCAAGCTGATTGGTAAGTAAGACTCAGGTTGATTGGGTGATTTTCTGAGTTTTGGAAATGGAGCTATGTTAGCAATTTTCCACTGAAGGGGAAAATACCTTATGTCGAAGTTGGATAATTTTGGTCAGTCTGCAGACCATCAAAAATCCCATTTTTTTAAATCATAATATAAGTAACATTATCATATCCAGGATTTTTCTTGGTCTTGATTTTTTTGACACAGCTAAGAACATCTAATGGATTGACTGCAATGCTGTTGTCTGTGCATGGTTTTGAGAGAAACTGTGTTAATAGAGTCAGGCAACAGTATTTTCTGTATGTGGGTCAGGGATGTTGTTAATGGTAAACTGAGTAGCATAGTGATCTGCGAGAGACTGAGCTTTCTCAGTTTCTGTGTATGCGATCCCATTTTTGCATTTAAGGGGTGGAATATTTGTGTAGCATCTTTTTAACCTCGAAGTGGCTTTCCAGATAAGACTTATCGTCAGTAGTGAGTTCTCAAAGTAGTTAGCCCAGTGTTTTTGTGAGTGTTTTCGAGTTTGATCTCTGACTTCTTGATTTAAAGCGTTGAGGAGTCTTCTGCCATCTGGATGCCTTGATCTCTGCCATTGTTTTTTTGGCTTTGTTTCGTCTTTTGATAAGTTCTCTCAGCGCATGATTTTGAGTGAAATTTTTGACAGGAATTTGCTTGGTATTATTGTGATATGCTGTG